TCCCACCTCGCGATGTTTCTGCTTGTTCTTCTCCAGAGCACCTGCGCCATCTAACACCCGGGGTGCTTTCTCGGACTCCTGATTGTCTGTCCTCCCGCCCCCAGACCCAGAACCTCGGGGAGGGCGGGCTGTGGTCTTTCTGCGCCACCCGGCAGCCCTGGCCCCCGGGGCCGAGCCTGGTCCGCAAAGGAGCCTGAGGCGTGTGACATGCACTTGGCGGGATCTCTGGCGGCCCTGGGGCCCTGGGGCCGGCCTACCTGTCGCTTGCGAACCACGAGCTGCTCCAGGGTGGCGTCGAGCTCCTCGGCCTGGGCCTGCATGGTGGACAGCTGCGCCTGCTTTTCGTGCAAGGAGTTGCTCATGCGCTTTTGTCTTTCTTCCATCTCCACGATGCTGCTGCTGATCTCCTCGGTGGCCTGGGGGACCCGCGGATCACCTGTCAGGCCCTGCCCAGCCCACCCTGCACACAGTGCGAGGGATCCCCAGAGGGGAAGAGAGGGTAGGCCCGGCCCCTCGGAACCTGGGGGGGCGGGGTGAGTCCCAGCTAAGCCCATTGCGGAGGAGGCAGGCACCGCTTGGGCAGCCCCGGCCCATGCCACCTGCCATGCTGGCCACGCGCCAGGGGGCCCGGGGTCGGGACGGGGGGCACGCCGGCTGTGGCCAGGCCGCCCAGCAGCCTCCCTACTTTGTGAAGGTCCCTGATCTTCCGCCGCAGCTCCAACTGCTTGTGGTGGAAGTCCGACCGGGTGAACACCTTCTTGTCTATCTTCCTCTGGCCCTCGGCCTGGATGGAGATGGTCTCTCTGCGGGCCACGGCCAGCTCCATGTCCCGGATCATCCGCTCCTGCTGCTTCAGCAGCTGCTTGTGCCTGACCTGGTGCCCGGGGCAGAGAAGGGAATCGCGGACCGGCCGCCTCCTGCACGGCCCCCGCTGGGGGTGGAGCCGCCACCCGGGCCTGTGCCCCGACAGGGAATTCAACCTCGACCTCCTGGTTCCCAGGTCGATGCTCAACACTGAGCCACACCAGCCGGCACGAGCGGCATTTTACAATATCGCGCGCAGAACGCGGGGGCTGCACCGGAAGGACAGGACAGTGGTTGGTGAGATGCTGCGCGTGCGGCCGTGTGTCCGTGTTGCTCCGCAGGGAGTTCAGGGAGGACGGACCCGACACACGGGCAGCGTGGGGGACAGTGCGTTGCACTTGGGCTTGGAGTGCGGGTCGCTGTGCTGGGGCTCCCGCCGGGCCCGGACCCTCCGCGCCCCACACCTTCATCCTGTGGATCTCCGCCTTCATGGCCCGGATCTCCTTCTGGCCCGTCTCCGAGTCCACCGAGGCCCGCATCTCCTTGGCCAGCTGGATCTTTTTCTCCCAAAGCAGGATCTGGTGTCTTGAAAAGGAGGAGAGGCCGCGTGGGAGCTGGAGGGTTCGGGAGCTTTCCTCCCGAGGCTCCCCGAGCTCCTGCTTCAGGACCCCACCCCTGG